AAGATGGGTGAAACTGGTCACATACTGTAGAAGAAGATGAGAAGGGTCACAAACAAGAAGCTACTGAGCCCATCTGGCCTGTTGGGAGATTGGAGCTCAGTGACTGGAGGATCTCATCCAGCCTTTGCTTGAAGAAAGCGACAGTATCGGCTGGGTAACGTGTTCCAGACTCCCACAGCCCTCTGGGTAAAGGGGTGTCTCCTGGTCTCTGTCTTAAATCACTTCCACACAGTTCCCACTTGTGTCCTCTGGTGCGTGTTTCTCTGTTCTTGCTGGGTTGACCTTGTTGTGGGACTCCGTGGGGGACCGCTCCACACTGACGCGTCCTGTCCTCCTCAGACCAAGCGCATGCTGGTGGAGAAGATGGGTCACGAGGCTGTGGAGCTGGGCCATGGGGAGGCCAGCATCACGGGCCTGGAGGAGAACACGCTCATCGCCAGCCTGTGTGACCTGCTGGAGAGGATCTGGAGCCACGGCCTGCAGGTCAAACAGGTCAGATGTCAGGCAGGGCACCGGCTGAGCACGGAGGGGTTGTGACCTCTGACCCCTAGAGCACACGGAGGTGGGGTGACTTCTGACCCCTAGGGCATCTTCCTTCATGTGTTTGAGAGGTCTTCACTTCCAGGAGTCTGTCACAGGGCGCATCCAGATGCTTCCCATGGGTCTTCTTCAGTGTAGAGCAGCGTCTTCACAGCCGTCGCACAAGGAGGATTCCAGTGGGGACCTGCAGTGTCCAGACATGAGACAGGTCTAAGTGTCGTATTGGACACAAGCCCTGTGTCTGCGTGCAAACTGGGATCATCTGTTTCTGTCCCACACAGGGGAAGTCTGCTCTGTGGTCTCATCTGCTCCAGTACCAGGAGAGGGAGGAGAGGCAGGAGCCCTCTGCAGGGTCTCCAGGTGAGACGTCTGGGCACTGGCACAGGGGGGAGAGGCCAGCCCTGCTGCCCTGGGCGCTGGGTTGCAGGAGCTGACCCTTACTCTGTTAGGACTCAAGCATTTTATTAAGGATCATCCAGAAATAAAGGTATAAATCTGATTGCATTAGTCACAGTGTTTCATCTAGATCTTTATATGGACAGAGGTTATAAGATAGTTTGTTAGATTGTTCCTGTCGCATTGCTGCTTTTGCTGGAAGACGGAGATTACAGCTCATCACAGATACACAGACAAGCACGTCTCATGTTCCCACAGTTCCTCTCGGGCCGGAAAGACGGCAGTCGGAATCGGGGTTGTCCATGCCTGCCCTCCGGGTGTCACTCATCCAGGACATGAGGTTCGTACAGCGGCGCCGAGCTCTGAGGGGCACGGCCAGCCTACTGTCACACACTGTCCCTTAAAACAGGATGTCTTTGCCCCCTTCAGAAGAGCTGTCAAGTCCTTTAAGGACTGTCTCTTCTATCACAACTCAGTGATGCATGGAGAGATCATTCGTTAGTGCAGTGGCACAGGTCTGAGGAGCTCTCCATTCTCCCGGACGTCTGAGCTGAGCG